TGGCCAGAACATGTGCAAGATGTTCCTGCGGGTCAGCCTCTGCCCACTGTAATTCCCTTAACAGCTTCTGTTAGGGTTTAAGGTTTAGGGTTTAGGGTACAGATCCGAGTCGCCGAACAGCTTGATGCCACTGTCAAAAACAACATGCCATCCTGTGTCTGCACCTGCTGCAGCGAGATGAAGTCCGCGGTACAGGCACACGGCTACCGGTTTGGTGACATCCCCAACGTGCACCAGTTGCGTGCAGATGTTTGGAGGACGCTGGCAGTGGCGCGTCCAGCTCAAGTCGTCGCATGGCTACCAGTGACAGCCGCCAGAGCACCACCACCGCCCGAGCCAGCTTTGCCGTGGGGCTTCCGAAAGATGTGGCTCAATGGGCATTCTACGGAGAAGACGGGGCTCACCAAGCGTCCTGGTACGACAGGGGACTCTGGTGGTTCGGATGACCAAGAGCACCGCCAGCCCACCCAGCAGCACAGTTCGTTGCAACAGGCGCGGGACCATTTGGGCAACACTGGAGCATATGGCTCTTCCCGGAAGACTTTCCACCGCATGAGGCGGGCCCATCTAGTCTGCCACAGTGATGTCGGCGTGAGACAGATGGTGTTGACGACAAGCAGGAGTCTATTCTTTCCGATGAAGAAGCAGGAGTGGATGCGACACGGCCACAAGACGTGGACGGCCAGCATGAGGAATGGATGCTCCCTTAAGCTTCGTGGCCGCCACGACCTGGCATGGAGCCACGGCCGGATCCCACTGCTCCGGGTGTGTGGCTAGTGCCGTACTGCATGCGTGTGGAGCGCTCTGGGGAGAATTGTACGGTGCACACCAACGGGGCTGGCGACGACATCATCATGATGTGCAACGACTGCATTCATGCCTTGGAATGTAAGCACTAAACACTAACATGAGAATTTGCATGCAGTGCTTTCGTTGCGGATCATGTGTGCTGGGTGTTCATGCATGCACGCACACAACCGCACTGGTTATTCTGACTGGTCTGCCCTGCCTGTGGCTGCTGCCTCCGCATCCAGGCGGACGCATCCCGGAGGCTGCTCTCGCACGCTATGATGGTGGAGACGTGCCAGAAATCAATCAGGACGGGCAGCGTCTGGAGTGGCCTACCGTGCTGGAAGCCAACATACTGGGGCTGGGCCATGTGCAGCAGCAGATCTACAGGCTCAAGGTCAAGAACCGGCCGTCTGACTGCAGCCCAT